CTGGAAGGAAGGATCCCTGAATGAATGCCTGCCTGCCCTGCCTCGCAGTTTCTTGTCTGCTGCCCTTGTTTCTCGACTCCTTCCTCCTCCTACTCCCTACGTTTTTCTTCCCCTCCCTTTCTCTCTCCCTCCGAGTGTCCTCTTCTCCTGCTCCTCCTCCTCCACTCTTTTAATGTGACGCTCCTCTCGTGATTTCCCCTGTCTCCTTTCTCTCCTCCTCCTCATGCCATGGCGTCTACGCGCGCTCATTCCATCGCCTGGCCCGATTGGATCGCTGGCTTGCTATTCGTTGGCTGGGACACGCTTGTTCAACGCTTCCATGCCCGCCATGTTCCCCGTCGTCTGCCCCTTCCCTCCCTCTCTCACCTCACCGTCATGATCACTGGCGCCACCTCCGGCATTGGCCTCGACACTGCCAGGTAATACGCACAATTCCCTTGGCATTACACTGTTTCTGTCCATTCAACCATCCTCATTCTTGCTTGCCTTGCAGAGCTCTGGCTCTCTCAGGAGCCCATGTGGTTTTCGCCGTTCGCAACACCAATGCTGCCAATGACCTCATATCTCAGTGGCAGATCAGTCAACCTCATGGCCAACCGCCCCTCCAGTGCGAGGTACCATCTGATATTTCTCTTCCACATCGAGCACAAGCGGTTGACACTTAGTGCACGCTTGCTCACATCCCAATCGCATATTGACATCTAATACATCGTCGATGCTTCCACTGGAAATTTCTGTCAGCTCATTCAAATCACCGTATATTATTCTCAAGTGTAGGTGATGGAGCTGGACTGTCTTTCTTTACAATCTGTCCGCACACTTGGTGAAACTTGGGAGGCTCGAAAACTACCGCTGAACCTACTAATCAACAACGCTGGAATATTCTGCATGACTGGTATTCATCTTCCACCTTTGTCCTTCACATTCGTTTGAGCTTCTGCACACTCATTTAGAAGCCACGAATCTGGCTTTCTTCTGAAAACTACATCTGGGAGATTATCCAGATGCATAGATGAATAATGGATGGGAACGAAGTTGTGATATTGCAAATATTCGAGCTTTTTCTGATGTCCACCATGACGCACATGAAGGTCAAATCTCCGCACTCCTTGGCTTAATATTTCTTGTGAGTGAAATTTTTTGATGTCAGGCCCCCAGAAATTTTCGAAAGATGGCTGTGAGCAGCACATGCAAGTGAATCATCTCGCCCCAGCTCTTCTGACCGTGCTTCTTTTACCATCATTAGCGCGTGGAGCCCCTTCTCGAGTGGTTATGGTTAACTCCATAGTAAGCTCACTAATCTGAAGCTTTCATTACCAGAAATTTTCTGCTCGCCATATCATATCTCTTCTTGCATGTGAATGAGATGGTTCGTGTGTCCGCAACCAGTCATGGTGTTGTTGTTGATGCTGCCTTTCAAGTAATTCGACGCACAGTAGGTAAGAGGCCCGGGTCTTGTCTCGGTGTTAAATTAGCACATGGTACGTTTAGCTTAATTTACTGTGCCGCTGGTTTAGGGTTTAGTGTCTGGGGTTTTTACATATTGTGCAGCCTAGTTCACCTTGTGTTTACATTAAGGTATTACTTGTATGACTGAAGGGTACTGTGTCTTTGAATTTCGAGTAGATTTTTAGCAACTACCCTATTTTGCAGATGCATTACGTGGGTTTTATTTCGCCAAGAGATTTGAGCATGAAAGCCGAAGGAAGAAAATATAATAATACTTGTGCTTACTCGAACAGCAAGCTTGCACAGGTTTGTACAGCTGGGTTTCTGTGTGAAAAATGTATTACTCAACTTCTTAAAATGCATTTTGGAAGAGCGCCTGCAGTTGCTCAGCGGCAAAATACCTGAAAATATTACCAAGTATGCTGTGCCTTGATTTGTATAGTTCTGCATCCCCACATGCAAGATCTTCGATGTATGCTGTGCTTGGTTTAGATTCTCATCGTCAAGTGTTTAATTTTTTTCATCCTCGATGCTATATTAGTCGAGGTTTTATCCAACTTGGACATGTAGAGTTTGTCTCCTGCTCGGCCTTAGTTAACTATGGCTTTAATTCTAAGTCTTGGTAGCTGACACTTATGCTAACACTCATGTGCTTTCTTGATGGTTCTTTTGTCATGGATATCAATATATTATGTAATCATTTCAACTTTAAGTTGTGATATTTGCAGGTTATGTTCTCCAATCTACTCCAGCGTAGGCTACCTAAGGAAGCTGGAATTGACGTTGTCTGTGTGCACCCCGGGGAGGTCAAATCCAAAGTGGTATTTTCCAGTTTCCCTGCAGGGGTTTAAAACGTGAAATGCTGCCGTGGGTTTTAATTACAGATCGATATCCTTGTTTGGGTTTGTATTAAACTACACGTCTTTGGTTTTGGTGGATCTGCAGGCACGGGACTTGCCTAAACTCATTCAAATTGCTTATCATAAATTGTTCTTTCTCTTTAACTCTGAAGAAGGTGAATTCTGCACAATTTATCCTTTTCAGCCCATCTTTCACATTTAAAATCCAAAATATTTCATTCTTGTTTTGTGCGTACGTAAGACTCTTTTGGAGTTCCAGTTATTTTTTTCGGATTTTGTGGCCCTACTGATTGAGGTGTGATTTGTCTGTCATAGGTGCTCGGAGTGTGTTATTCTGTGCGACTGACAAGCTGGTTCAAGATCATGCCCGCCATCTGCGTAGTCTCGGCTACCCTTTGGCTCCATATTTTGGGCCAGATCTAAAGATCTGGTCTGTCGCTAAACAGGCACTTGACGTGGAGAAGGCTCACCTGGTTTGGGAAGAGACACTTAAATTGGTCGATTTACCAGCAGACTGCATTGATACAGCCCTCTCTGGCAGTTTTCTGACCTGAAACACCCATTATTTTAGAAGAGATGTGATTGGAGAGGGGATGTAGTTCTGCTTCTTTGGATAGCATTTGATTTGTACAGTAACGTCTTCAATTGTCACCACTCTTATTGTGGTCAGTACCTGAGCTTGCTTCTTTTACTGTTTTTTCCATTTTGCTAGCTGTAACATGGGTTAACATTACTCATAAATGCTATGTTATGCTTCAGCCTCTTCTATTTATTTATTTGTTTATTTTAGTATCAGGGGTACCTTTGTGCTAGTTTCCATCAGGCAAAGTGGGAATTCATGGTCGGGAATTGAACTAACCAATTTGAACTTTTTTGGTGCCATCTGTCATCATGTAACGGGCGATCGTCGCTATATATTGGTCTATTTTGAAACCAAGTGCATTCTTGCAAAGAAATCTCTGTCGTCTTTCTCGAATGGTCTAAATACCTCGGGGTTTAAAGGGTAACCACGCATGGGGTCATGTTTAACTGCAAGATCCAGGTGATGATTCCGTAGCAAGTGTCTTATAACTTAACCACCCTAATGTTCTAAGCTAGTCTGCATTCTTACAGCGGGCATTAACGTCGGAATACCTTAAACTGTCAACTTAATGTTTTTCAGCTATCTCGGGGGAATTGTTTTTGGATTTTTTTGGATTTTTTTTTTTGGTGGAGAAATAAGGTTTTGATGTCCTCCAAAAAAGAAAAAAGAGAAATGAATTGTTACATGATAAAAATTAACAAAGCAGTTTTTGCATTTGACTCTTGAACAAGGTGTAGATTTGGCCAAAACCGTCCAGAAAAACATGTTTAACCACCATCTCCATCATATTAAACCACCAATTTCATCCTTACAAAATTTGTCCATCATTGGTGGACTTGGAATGGATTTGGAATCTTCCTACATTCTTCAAAGCAATTTTGGGTTTGTGCAAGGGTAACTTCTGACAAGGTATACAAATTGGTTCAAGGGTGTAACACAGTTTAAGATATTTTGACAAATATACTGTACTGGACAAATGTCGCACGGAATATTGTTGTCTGGAGTGAGGGTAGTTTCTGAAGCGGCACGTGGGTTTTAAGCAAATCGGCTGCTTCTGACGTGGAAATTACCGATAGTTTGTGCGGGTAGTGGGACAAGCAGTTGGAACACGATTTGGGGGTAATAGTCACACAGCAGGCCTCAGCGCGCCGTGCGAATCAAGCCCTGGTTGGCTTGGTTTGGGATGGTGTCCTCCCCCCAGCGCTGCAAAATCGCGAGGTGTTGCCTCGTGGACAGATCAAATACCAGTGCGATTTGTCACTGCGACCAATCCCAAGAGTACCTATTGAAGCACTAGACAGCCGTCTTTGGGGCAACAGGCGAGATTCATGAGGGAAACTATTCTGATTGCAACCTTCACAGAGATGATCGGGAATCGATTCAAATTTTGGCACCACGATATTCAGTGAGAGGCTCATGCAGGTACGATTGTTTGTTGAAGCTGGTTGGCTGTAGGATTTAGCATATTAAGACTGATAATCTACAATCAGCAAATTGCTCAGCTCTCTGCTCCATGGATTTAGCTTCGGTGAAGTGCTGTTTCAAAGTTGAATTATGTGTCTCAATCCGTCCAGACTCGAGGTTTATTCGCTGAACAGTTTCGCGCTAGTGAAGCACCACCATTGCACTTTCAAATCATCTTTTGGAGGGTCATAGGAGGGCAAAATAGGGAGATCAACTCATTTGTGAAGGGCGTGAGAAGCTAAGGCCTTCCAGCTTCAGTAGCCGTGGATATTGAGCTCTGAGCATTGAATGAAACAACCTTAGTCACACCAGAACCCAAAATGGCTCTTAAGAGTTACTTTGTAAATTCACGACATGAGATTTTTATATTTGAATTCACCACTTACAAATTCTCAGCGAAAAACTGATTCAAACAAGGTCATTTTGAATATGATCTCCCACATTGGCAGGTCCATGGCCGATGCAACAATTACTACAATGAATTACATTCTGCTGCGAATCAGGACGAGGAGTTTGACAATATTTCTGAGGATGATGAAGGACATCACTGATCTCGCATTGTGAGCGATGGAGAAGATACCAATGAAGCTTTAATTATTTCTAAAAGTTGTAAAATACATGGTTGTGTTATGCAAACGGTGCTTTATTCATTAAGACAAGTGAATTTATACATATACAGTGATAACACTGTGGACCCACACAGGTCTGGATTGGTTTCTGAGATTTCATCTAGTAGTAGGGTTTCATCTTATTCTAACACCCTCCTTGAAACCCTAGCATATTAGCAAATTTTATTTCGCCTTCTGAAGTACATTTAAACTGTGCAGAATGGTATCCACGGAGATTTTGGAGCGGCTACAAGATGTAGTGGATATGTTGTCAACAATGAGTGTTGGGAGTTTGTCTTTTATTGAGTTTTACTGTAGCTTTGTTGTTGTGCATTGTATTTGACGAAGTGCAGTTGCACACAGGTTGAAGTCTTGATTTTGATTGCTTGGTAGTTGGCAGTCGTGCTTCACCGACTGTGCAATGTCATCTTGACTTCATACTTCTGATGTCTTCAACAGACTCCAAAACCAATAATTCAGGAAGTGCTCCAGATTGGTGACTCCACGGTTGAGTCGGTAATGAATCTACAATGCTGTTTTGATTCTAGAATATTGGCGTCAACTTGGATGTTGAAATTCTATGTTGTGCGAGTTGGCCAAACTTGGAGAGTCTATACTAATTGGGAGGATTGCAAGAAACAAGTTATGGGTTATAGTGGGACTGTACATAAAAGGTTTTGGTCATGATAAGAGACATATAGTTTTTTGTTAACTGGATCCTCAAATTCAAAATTCTAGTCTGGAGAATAACTCCCCTTGTGTGTTAACTAGCTAACAGCTGTAGGTGCAGACACACGAAGACTAGATAGATGTAGAAATAAATTTTGTTTAGGATTGTACCTTGTAGAGAATTGCAAATGGGTTGAGGAGCTTGATGTAGTTCTCAAACTTGGTGCGGCCTAGGGGTTTGGTGAGGATATCAGCAGGTTCCTGATCTGTAGCCAAGTATGTAACACTAACTTGTTTTTCTTTTCAACCACGTCTTGTATGTAGTACAAGTGGATTTTGAAATGTTTTGTTTTGGAATGATACAGTGGATTGTGTGATATTTCGATCGAGCTTTGGTTGTCGCAGAGCAGATCAATAAGTCGAGGTTTCACAAACCCAAATTCATGAAAAAGATTGCAAAGCTAGATAGTTTCTTTTGCCACCTCAACCAGAGCTCTGTACTCTGACTTTGTTGATGATAAAGCAACACAAGTTCGTTTTTTTGTACACCAAGTAATGGATGTGTTGTTGATGGTAAAAATAAACGCACCCATGGATTTTTTTCATTAAGGTCTTCACCCTAGTCAGCATCACTATATCCTTTGAGAACAAAATTGTTTGACTTGGATTAGAATAAACCAAAGTCCACGGTGCCTTTTATGTATTGGATGATGGACTTCAGAACTTGAAGTTGAGCGAATTGGGGGTGAGACATAAAACGAGATACAAAATTCACAGTAAATGCAATGTCCAATTGTGAGTTGGTAAAGAAAACCACTTTTCCAACCATTTTGCTAGTAGAGCTATGGATCAACTGTAGGAGATTGTAAATCCTTGCAAAGGTCGATGTTTTGTGGTAATGGTATTTTTGAAGGGTTAAAGTCTGTTAGACCAAATTCTTCACTGGTTGTTGTTGCATAGTCGGCTTGATAGAGCAACAAGCCATCATGTTTGTGAGAGAATTTTTTTGGTGGAGCTCTTGCTTAAGCTTGTCAATAGTGGATTTGTCATCAACTGTAGGAAATAAATCATCAACATACAAGACAAGTAATATTGCTTTGCCATTGCAATTGACTAAGCTTACAAATTAAGTGTTTGATTTTGAGACTCTTGTATCTTAGTGGTTGTTGCATGCATACTTTGTTATGCAAGCAGTTATTTAAGAACATTGTTTTAACATCAAGGTGATGCATCTTCCACCTTTTGTGCACCTACTAGGATACTTACTGTTTTTATTGTGTTTTAATTAACAACTAGAAAGAATGTCTAACTAAAGGTAATCCCATGCTTTTACTAACATCCCTTTGCTACAAATTGTGCTTTAAATTAGTCTAATTTGATGTTGATCACAGTTTTTATTTATTTATTTATTTATTTTTATTATATATATATATATATATATATGTGTATTTTGAGCTGATGTCTTACTTGCATATAAGGAGTGGTACTAAGGACAATATTTTATTTTGTTAATGCTTGCTATTTCATTGTCCATTGATATTCTTTAATTATCAAGGACATGAATCTTGAGGATCAAAAAACTCAATACACTCTTATATAACTCAAAAAAATAGATATTCACTCAAATTTAATATAGTATTGAAATTGGAATGGCTATTGCCAAAGACAAGAAGACTAAAAAGTCTTAAAAAAAGATTAAAGACTAGAAAGACATTAACAAGAGTAAAGAAGGCTTCATTCTTGCCTCCATATATACTATTTACTATAAGCTATGTGGCAATATTTTATAGGACCTCCAATACATGTCCAATTTACAAGACACGTGTTTAAACTTATAGGATAAGTTTCTTATGTGTGTGCCACATTGTTAACTTGTACTACAAGCTATCCACATGTGCAATACATAGGTAACTTATTGGCTAAGTTGCTAACCTCTCAATCAACTATAAACATGTATAAAGTCAAATATACATGTATGAAGCCTTTTTTAGCTACTCTTTGTCTTTTGCCTAAGATACCTTGAATTTGTATATGTCTAATGATATATAAAAACTTGATAAATTCAATAGTATAGCCTTGATCTGATATACAAGCTATGGATAATACATTTCACTTAATACCAAGTATATATAAAATATCATTAATTTTTTTATTTTATCAATTAAAAATTACAAAATATATATATATATATTTTTTGCAATATCATGGAATTTCTCCTTAGTTGCAATCATTCAAGGAGTAGTTACTCATTTTAGATTTGAAATGATGCTCAAATTTCTTATAATATATTGAGTTGCATCAAAATTAATAATTCAAATGGTATTGGATGAATTCTTTTGTATTGTATTAGCTAAGATCTTTCAACTATGTGGGCCATAATTGTGATTGGTGGATTCAAGTTTGTTAATTTTTTTGGATTCAAAGAAATAAGACTCTAACACATCCTAAATGTCTATATTGCTACTTTTAGAACTAGAATCTTGATATATATATATATATATATATATATATTTCCTACCATATTGACTTCAAAATGATTTTTAGACTTTTTATCAAGATTTTTGAATTTCTAATCTAATATCTTCATATGATCTAGAGTTCTTTTTAAGTAATAGTTATCTTTCCAATAACAATTTTTTTTAAAGAAGAAATAGACATTATTAGAGGATGGACAATTTATGGGCTGCTATGTTATGTTTTTGAGTCCACTATGTTTTTAAGGATTGAATTGTGGCTTAGATTCCACAGACAACTAGATCCCTCTTGAGAATTGAGATGTATTAACCTTCTTGTTAGATCTGCTCGAATTTCCTTTTCTCATGTAAAAAACCTCATTGCTTGTCTCCTTCTCCATATCCATATGAATTTGCATTTCTTCATCTAGTAGTTTAGATTCAAGTTCTAAAAAGATGGAGAGATTGTCATTATCCATAAGTAGCTTTTTAAAAATATGATATTCCTTAAGTAAGATATGTAGGAGCAATAATGAAAGAATATCTTTTGATATTATCACCAAAATAGCCTCCAATTGATTGATAATACTCTTGATCACTTTCAAATAGTTTTTATAGTCAAATTTTCTTCCTTTTAAGAAGTTATTAGTTGCCTAAATAGCATTATTCCTTCTAGATCTTGTACTTGCCTCATATTGACTTTTGAAATGTCAATATTTATGTGGGTCATTGAATTACTTGATAATTGATATCAATGAATCATGTATCAATTCAGAGATTGCATCTAGAGTAGCCTTCTTTCCTTCAAATTTAATCTCAAAAGCTCCTTTTTGAGATAGAAGATTGATGTGATAATTTGAGATTTGGTATTGCTTCAAAATTTGTACCATCTTAAACAACCAACTTTAATAATTTGTATCAACTTCTAGGTGATTAGAATTTCAAATAGAGAAATCCAAACATTTGTTATGGTGAACAACTAATTTGATCATATTTCTATCTACTGCAATAGTGAAAGTACCAAAGCTTGCTCCAAATATGAAACTTATGGATTGACTAATAATAATTTCTTTTGAAAGTTTACTATAGCTTTCATAAGAATATAGCAATACTTCAATTTTTTATAGTATTAGTCAAAAAATACTTAATTGTTCTTAATCTAATGCAAGACAATTAAGTGATTGACCACTCTTTAATGCCTAAGATCGTATGCATTACTATCATACCATGTAAAATACATGATTGTGTTATGCAAGAGATGCTTTATTTATAAAGTTAAGTAAATATATACATATATAGTGATAATACTATAGATCCACATAGGTCTAGATTGATTATCCAAGTTTTATCCAATCTAACTAACATAGTAGTAGAATTTCATCATATTCTAATAAAAGTTGGCTTAAAAAGAAATCCAATTGAGCATATAATAAAATATTTATTATATTTTTATGTTTATTTAATTTTCTTCTTATTAATGAATTATTTATAAACTTACAATAAGTTTGCATTCTTTTATATAAATTATAATTAATAACTTGTCCTAACTTGTATTTTCCTAAATATGTTTTTTTTTTTGTAACTTATATTTTTTTAACTGTAATTCTTCAATTTGTGGATAATTATATATTTAAACTATGAAATTTAACATTATTATGAGTATTTAATAATTTTCCAATAACATACCATCTTTAAAACTTTTAAAAGCTATATTTATTTGAGAAGAGATTTCAAGAACGTACAAGAAATAAAATCATCTGCAATAATCTTTAATAGAATAGAATTTGTCGTTTATTAAGATTGAATTGTTATTGTATTTTTCTAATATTGATGTTTTATCATCAACATTTGTTTTGGCATCCACATATATTGGTTATTGTGTGATGCTATTATAAATAATAGAATCAAGTATATAAAAAATTTCTAATTTTAAAAATTATAAAATTTTGAATAAATTTAAAGTCTAAAAAATAAGAAATAGTATATAAAATAAGTTCAAGTTGGAATTCGACATCAAATTCAGTGATTCACATAATAATTTCTTTGTAATCCAAAAACATATTTTTAATATTATATTTTAATAAATGATTTTTCTTGTACATGAATTGTACATCTTTATGGTACTTGTACTTGATTGGACTACTAAAATGCATTAAACATTACAAGAAATATTTTTCTCACTTATGATTTTGTGGAAGCAATGAATTTAATGCATAATATATTTATAACAATGTTTCTTTTAGATACCATGTATAGATTACAACATTATTTAATTATAAGACCAAAATAATTAAATCAAAAATATATATATTGATATAAATACATATTTTGGTATAAATAAGTTAAAATAAATAATAAAATGCATTCATTTTACAATGATTATTTAATTTTAGTATTGATATATAATATAATATAATATAAGAAAATAAAAATATTTAACCATTACATGTAATAAATATTTCAAAAATGATAGAAAAAAAAAATTATTTTTATTTTTAAAATAAAAATATGAAATTAGAAACTTAACTATTAATGTTTATGAATCAAACAATGTTTTTACTTATTTGAATTAATTTCTTGATTTTATATACTTCTTTTTTGAGTATAAGTTTAGTGCTTTCAATAAAATTTAATTTTTCATTAGGTGCACATGATATATTAATGTTTTGATAGATAAGATATATTGAAGCAAATTCAAAGGAGAAGTTTTAATAATGCAAGTTTAAAACCAATTAATAAAAGATGCATCTCCAAAAGTAATTTCTTGTTGTAATCGAACATGCCCAAAATTATGAAAAAAATAAATATTTAAAATTTTATAATTTCTAAATATATTTTTAGCTCCAAATGTGTGTTTGTAAAACTTATATATATATATATATATATATATATATATACACACTATCAAAAAGTTTTTGATAAGTTTTTGATAGTGTATACATATATAAAGAATACTAATAAAATACATGATCTTTACACAATGATTATATAATATATGTATTTAGAAATGATACACATTCTCATAAACACACATATAGAGATATAACTTTATTGTTATACAAAAAAAATTTAAATTAAGAATACAGTAACTCTAATCTTTTCTTTAAGGCCATGTATTTTATTACTCTATTAAGATTTTAAATTGCATGATATCAATAATGATGTTTTAATTTTTACTATCATGTAGATGTAGAAATATAATAAATTGATAAAATATGCATTAAGGTAGGATTGTATACAGATAGTTATAAATAAATATTAAGTTCTAAAACACAATACATATGTTTTGCACTAACTGGCTTTTGAGTATATATATTTCATCTAAACTATGTTCATGTGACTTTGTAAAGAGATTAACTTTTAGATAGAAAAAAATATCTTTTAATTATTTATGATCTATATAAATATAAATTTTTAGATAACCTTGAATTCTTAGAACACCATATAGAAGCTTATATGTGACCTAGTTGCTATTATGTAAATAAGGTAGCAAGACTATAACACCTTGGTCTTGTCCATACAAGTTTTTGAACAATCTACTATTTGATTTATTTCTATTCTCATATTTAATCTCCTTTTTAATCTTATATATTATTTTTTAAAATGTATTGGTAGCATAATTTTATATTTTTGTACTTAAATTTTATTTTCAAAAAAATAAAAATTAAATATATATATATATATATATAATAAAATTCATATGTTTTTATTTTTTTATTAAAAAAATTCTAAAACTAGGAATCCAAATTATTTACTAGTTTTTTTTTCTTTAAACTTTTCATGGTATTTTATTATGTTTTTTACTTTTTTTAATTATATTTTCATTTACAGATTTACTTATAAATAAAATATTAAAATAATATTAAAACAATATAATGTATATTTAATGTATATTATTAAAATTTCTAAACTAATATTAAATCTTAAATACAATATAAGACTTTAAATAAATTTAGTTTTAACCATTTAAATTTTAAAATAAACATAAGTAGAAGACCAAGATTTAATATTTAATATACATTAAAATTTTAAAAAAATGATTTTTAAAAATTTAATCTCTATTTGGAAAATTTAATCTCTATTTTAAAATTTAAAAACTTCAAATATGTATATATATATATATATATATATATATATATATATATATATATATATATATATATATATATATATATATATATATATATATATATATATATAAAATCTAAAATTATGTTTATTTTATGTTATAAAAAAGAGATAAAAATATTTTTTATTCTTTTATACATTCAATACTTTTTAAATTTTATCATATACTTTAAACATAAGGTAATGCATCTATAAATACTTATATCTTTATCAAATACCTATTTGGTACCTTCTTGTTTATTTATATTCTAAAATAATGCTATTTATACTAAAATAATCTTTCTTAAATAATTCTTAATTCTTTATAAATTAGTAATGATATAAATATTTGAAATAATTTTTACATAATATTTATTTTTAAATTAATTTTTTATCTACATAAATAAAATATTTTTATAAATAATATTGATTATTGATTTAAAATTTAAAATTATATTAAAAAAGTATTCTAATTAAAAGCTTCTTGCAATGATGTCAAAGAAAAATTACTCTTATTAATTTAGATTCAAAGCTTAGATTATTTCTAATCTTACACATATTATTGCTATTGTACCAAATATATTGAAATGTTAGAAAAATTATATAATTTCTAATAAATCCTAAATTATGTAGAATATAATTGCATATAATACTAACTAATTACCAAAAAAAGACTTTGTTTTGTTCTAAATGATTTTATTTGTGTGAAAGTCCTCTTTGAAAAGCTATGGTTTAAAAGCCTTATTAAGAGCAATTGTTTGGTGAAATAATAGTCTTCTTTTGGAAGCTTTATCCTGTGGATATTGTATAAAGTAAGCCAGTCATGGCATGAACATCCCGAAGCTACTCACTTTCACTTAGGGTATTAAATACATTACACACCTCTACTACGCGAGTGTAAATTGAACACTTTTGTTACTATACACAATTCAGGAAACTACAAACTGCATCAATTTTTAATATCCCCTTGCCAGTTTGAGTAAACGGGTACGTTTGCACAAGAATCCCATTAGTACTCTTCAGGGCATGTAATCAGCGAGTATTTCATAACACAAATTGCTGCTATGAAAGAGCCAGCAAAGAGCCCTGCACAAAATCAAAACCGGATTTGATGCTCTACACAATCAGGCTACAATGAATGCAGAAAAGCTTCGGGCAGTCGCATGAACTGCAGCTTCAGTAACGAGATATTGACCATCAAGGACTATTCAATCTCTATATGGCAGAGCAACAAAGTCAAAAGTGCATAGCTGTCAGCTCCACCAATTTCGAACCATTGGTGACCAAACATTATGGTGGTCTTGGTCCTCGTATGATATACTTCTGTTTCAATAAGGATCTCAATTGAGGATCATACTTTGCTTGGAAGTCCTAGAAAATCTCGATAGACTCTTTTGTGGCCCATCGTTAGGAAAGATCACATAAAACATGAGCTGCAAGATCCATCCCAATCTAGCCACAACCTTGAAATAACACAAATCGCGAACACGGCAAAGCCTCAACATTCGATTCACCGCCTCTGTTCAACACGCGTCTTGCCCTCAAAGAACTCACCCAGCATCCGCTCCAAGTCCTCGGGAGTGTACCTAATGTATTTCCCCTTGTGTCTATCACTTTCGATGATTGAGCTACACAGGGGAAATCATTAGCAGTGAACCTTGTTAGCAAGCAGAAGAATAAATTTATTCAGCCGTGTAATTAGAAACTAGAAACGACTTAGAAAGACCTTTGTGTGCATATTATCAGAAGACAAACCTCAGAGAATACTGATGCATCTCCATGATACAATGTGATTTCGTAATAAATTCGAAATTCAAAATCAGTTTAAAATTAGGGTATTGCTACTGTCACCACAACCCCATCCGCCACCACATGCCAACTTTGTTCAATGTCTTTCAAACCAATCAAATTTTCTTTATTCAATATCTTCCAAACCATTTGATTGAACAAAAAAATTGATTGGAATAAAAAAAACTAAAGAAATATATCAAAGTGGGTGGCGGGTTGTGGTGGCATTAGCAATACCAAGTTCACTTTTTATAAATTCAGTTATCTCAAAAAATTGTAGAGATGTACCTGTAGCGCTTTAGAAACGACCGATAAGCTGGTAACAAGACCTCGGCAACTGCCAGCCTGACGGCTTCCCTCAGCTCACTGTCTGGTATGGTCCACTGTGTTTGCCGATTGTATAATTCCTCCAGAAGCAGGCTGAAATTCTTGAATCTGCGATGGAAAACTCATAGGTTGATCTGTAGTTTGATTTTATCATGGTTCCGCACAATACCATGAACAGTGATTGAACTATGTATGACAATCAGCTGCAACATTAGAACTATTCAAACTTAAAGCTGTTTCATTTGCTCAACCTTAAATTTAAAAACTATGCAGCCTTACTCACCTCTCTTTGATAGCAGACTTCGAAATACTACTGCCATCAGAAGACCCACCACTAAGATGTCCACTGGAAGACCCAGACCCACTCAAATATGACAGAGCCTGTAAGACAGCAATATCAAACGCAGCTCAGAACTAAGATCCTCATAAAGATATGCAAATCGCGAATGATACTTCAAAACTCATGATAGGTGCGTGATAGGAGCCACGGTACAAGTATGAGAAGTAGAGGATGGACGCTTCTACTAATATAAAAGTGAAGATTAAAACCCAGACCAAGCAAAAACAAGTACAAAACAGAAAATCACCTTGCCCCAGGCAGCACGCTGATATGTGTTTGCATGTTGCTGGACAATACGTCGTTGTCTTTGAACCCAGTCATCGCCCAGTAGGTCTTTTGCCTCTGATCTGATAGCCATTACCATGTCAATGTGAGCAGCAAATTCAAATGGGATTGATGCTAATTCGCCTTCTAAGATGTTCATCCAGGTCCAATAATGATGCGAATTCAAACAACGATCACAGAAACATTGCAATCATCAATAGAAACCATCATCTACATAAGTTTCTTAGTTAGCATTTGGTATGAATATCCATGACACAGCAAAATTTAAGACAAATCGGTCAACAATGGCTTTGAAATTACTTACTTTCTGACAGATCGGACCATGTAGTGAATATTATTCATGAGGAACAGCTGCGTAAGTGCAGGATCCCGGTATAATTTTGACTTCCCATCCAAATTAACTTGTAGCACAGACATAAGGCGCACTGTGGCAGCTGCCAATGGTGAAGGGGTGGCTTGAAGTTGAGGTTGCCCACCTCCCAACAAATGATTTAAGGTTTTTTGATAACTAGTATCACCGCCACCCACAAAAAACAAACAAAATTGTTACATGTTTGCTCAGGCCTATCACACGGGCAAATGTTTATGCTGTGCACAGAAAAAGGATAAATAAATTAATCATATACACCCAACAACAAAGTTAAAAACCAAATAAAAGAAGACAAATAAACCAACTAACTAAAAGTGTGTGTTTGTGAGTGTATATGTGTGTGTATATACCGAGAGAGAGAGAGCTCTTACTCAAAAAGAAATTTGACATAATTAATGACATAGCTTGTGAGGGGATGGACTGTTCCATCCAAAACAGGCGTCTTTGTCGCATCTGTTGACACAGCATCTTCAAAATCACCAAAAGTTTCTTTGGCCGTCTGAGCCAGACGTTGTATTAAATCCTGAGCAGCTTGTCTAAGACCAATTGCAGATGCTGAAGAAAACAAATTCTCTATCTGCAATTATCCATAATAATATTTGTTACGTGGCGGAATTGGCGAGAAGAACTTCAATACAGTTAATTCAAAGTGGAATAGACACCGAAAATTCACAAAATATATGTCATAAAAATTTTAATTTAAATTTAAAAAATTAAAAAATAAATAAAAAAAACCTCCAGCTCAACAATACACTTCATTATATTGTAGACATAGAAGAAGTCATAATTATGCATGCTCACTTTATGGTATCTGCAAAGATAAAAAGAAATGGTAGAAAAAAAGACAGGGTATTTACTAAATATGATTTTCCACAGATTTTCGTGTACAACATAGAAGCACAAGTTCAAAAGAGAGAAGCTAAACCTCAGGAAATAGCTCATGCATGGTTTCATACATATCAAGCAGAACAAAGAGCTTCTCTGGTGACTTTTTACTCCTTGCTATCGCTTCTCCAAAGCTCAGGAGAATATGCACACTGGAGTCAGTCACATCTGCAAAGCACTTCTCTCGGTGCGGATCGAGGTGGTACCATATTTGATCACATAGCTTTCGTTCTGCAGAAAATAATAGTTTTACCTGAAATCGTGATGCACATCATTTACTGATTAAGAGAGAGATCAAGTCCATGATCTCCCCGACTGATGACATTGAGTAGAATAGCAGATCAGCCACTGGGAAAAATGTAAGCTAAACAGCAGCAGACAACAGCAAAGGTCATAGTAACCCACAGCTATTCGCATGTACTGAATCCAGCTGCCGATCTTGGCTTCCAGGGCCTCCCATTGCATCTTCTGCACATCCTCCTTGCTTAACTTCTCAACCCCAAGTTTCTTCAAACTCTGTTCCAATGTTGAAGCCCTCACATCTCTTTTTCACGCAAAGCAAGACAACACTTGCGTCAAACCATATGCAAAAATACCTCCGGTAGGACAGTTCCGAATTATCAATTTGTCAACACCTCAGATGTACATTTCATGCCTATCGTTGATCACCGTAGTTGTAAGAATACTAAAACTGCGGGTCCAATGTTCGCTAAAGAGACAAAGCGAAAGAGGATACTTGGACAATGATTAGTAATAAACTGACAGAAGAGTCGTTGTGCTTAAAATAACAGAAATAATAATAATAATAATAATAATAATAATAATAACGCCATTTCGTAATTAACAGGAGGATCTTCAAAGCATACCTATATATTTTTATACACTGCGCATGATACCCGGCAGCAACTAGCCTCTGAGCCATATCACGAAGTTGTGGAACAGTTTTTGGTGCAATTAGAACAGGGAGTTGTAGAACTTTGACATTCCCAATAGAACCATCAGGTCTTCCTTCCACTGCTGGGTTCCCAGTGAGCTTCCCGGAATTAGGTATCATCTCCTGTAGTTGCGCCGAATCAGCAGGTTTGCTGTAAGATGGAAACATCAGAAGTTAAACTACATCTGATATATTCCAAACATCCCAGAATAACGACTGTGCGTAAGACAACTTATATAGTCACGGCGCGTTATAGTCCTAAATAAAGAGTCAAATAGTTGAGAACTTTATGAAAGATTAGGTACTCTTCCATTTCAACTCTTCCATTCTCTCATATGAGGATAATAATAACATTAAGAATTACAATATAATTCCAAAGAGTTGATAGTGCACACATACACATAGATGTCATCAAAACCCGGACCGTTCCAATTTCAAATAGAGCGTGCTTAGAATGTGATTTTACTACCAGACGTTCAACTCACCTATTCTGGATCAGAAGGGTTTTAAACTCGTCAGCTAGGCGATTCATACCCTTGTTGAGTAGATTTCGTGCATGATTCAGCGCACCATCGCTAGCCTTGAGACCGCGGTTCTGCGTAAAAAACTCTACATTTTTCTGAAGCTGGTCCACAGCTGCTAAAAATCCAGTTAAGTCGTTCAGGGGACCGCTCAATACCGTGTCTTCTACCTTCACACACAGGAAACAAACAAGTGTTTTGGGGACATTCAGCACATTTGAATACCTACAAGAGATACGCAAACACCTGAACAAACATCAGTATTCGCCTCAAAAACCATAATCACCACTTGTATAAAAAAAGGACCTAACCGGAAAATACCAGAATTGATGATGTTAAGATAAGACAGACTCCACATTGCAGCTTCCTAGATTTCAATGCCACTGCCAGAGAGTTCAAGAGTGCTGCTTCTACTTAAAATAGTGGTGCAAAAGAAAGTAGTGTCACCTGGCGGGAGACGTCAAATTGCGTCAACACAGATTCAGCTGCCTTGAGAGTGCTGTCAATATTTTCGTGTGCTTTTCTGAATGCATGTGTTCGTACCTGCAAGTACGGAAAGCATGTTATGGAACTAGCCAAACACCCCAAAGAACGGCAAGGTGTAGAGATTAAAGAAGGGGTATGCTACCTGGACTGGAAGAGTAAGGAACGAACGGAGCATTACTCAATAAGTAACAGTGCCAAGAGAATAATTATTATCAACTTGCATGATCTACAGAGGTTTTTCCTAAGTTCACAATATACATGTAGCGGTCATGAATTTGACATAGAAATCTATTGCAATTGAAAATAAAATCAGACACAGCCAGCCTCACCAACCGCACTACAATACAGCCTTATATTTTAAGCGATGTGTCATTCCTAGCAAAACCTCCCCTCTCAGCTTCCCTAGAGCATTTCCCTGGCGCTTGCAGTTTATAGGGGACAATTAAATAAGGATGTATTTGGATAGAGCGCAGACATGATTTCAGATATTCGAAACAGGGTATCTGAAGATCTCTAGCCCAAGTGTGTCGAACACTACCCAAGAAATATAAGAAAGTAGTGGTCAAAAGCATAGGCTAGGAAGCTAAGCCACAATGTACTGTGGAGAGTGGATTTTCCATGTCAACTCCGATGCGCTCATTCATCATCTGAATTGTACCGTAGGAAACTCATAAAGAGAAAACGCACATATATGGTAAAAGTGCGCTTAAGTTATGCTGCCTTACAATATGTCGAGATGATGTGTATGATTTACATACTGTTCTACTGCCAGGGGACATAGGTTTGGCTGAGTGGTAAAAAAAAATAATGTAAACACTTCTAATTAATTCGTATTGGAGAAAGGTGACACATACAAGAAAATATTGGAACATTGTGACTTCATGCCCAAAGCAGAGTATAACAATTCAGTAGTAGAAATATGGCTTCAGACAAGGCCCGCACAATGTGTGAAGGAAATAAAAATCACAAAGCACATGTAACGTCTGCGAGAAACGTGGCAAAAAAAATTTGTGAAAAGTTACGAGACGAACTTGAGTAGGGCGCATTGCGGTCTCCAAAGAGGAGAGTCTATGGTCGAAGGAACCGAGAATGGAGATCATGGATTCTGTCATGCTTTGGCTCTTGCCCAGGCTGTCGCGCATGAACTGCGCACGCGCCTGAAGAAGCTGCACCTCGCTTGCGGCACCCATAATGCCTCACTGTCTCTGCCAACGTTAAGACAAAGCAATGCAATGCAAGTACGACCCCAAATGCGTCACCCGACGCTACTTCATGTCGAAAGTGCTCTGTGCATCCGTGAAACGATCACCTCTACCGGGCTGGAAAGGAAGGAGAAATGCAGCTTGTTGTGCCAACTACGCCCCCCACTAACTGTCCACTTAAGTTTCTCGCACCAGATGAATTGAAAAGGTGGAACGATCGCAGGGTTGAGCCCACATCAGTTGCAACAGGGGGATGGGAAAAACCAGCCGCACTGGGCAATGGCACAGCATCTAGACGATCGATCGGAGATGGAAACAGTGGCGACGGGGAAAAGAATGGAAAACAAAAAAGGGAGAGAAAGGAGGAAAGGAGAGAGGGAGGGAGAAGCCTGGGCTGGAGCGAGAAAACAGAAGAAAGCCCAGGTGACGACGATGCCAACCTCCCCCCCCCCCCCCTTTGGAAACAGAAGTGGTTCCGCGCAGCCCTTGGCCGGGCCGGGCCAGAGGGAGGGAGGGGTCCCATGACGTGGCCATAGGATGTGGGCCCCCCATTCTCCATCCACTTCCTTCTCGTTCTTTCTCCCTCGACTATCTTTCCACTTCCTTCTCGTTCTTTCTCCCTCGACTATCTTTCCACTTCCTTCTCGTTCTTTCTCCCTCGACTATCTTTCCACTTCCTTCTCGTTCTTTCTCCCCCGACTATCTTTCCACTTCCTTCTCGTTCTTTCTCCCTCGACTATCTTTCCACTTCCTTCTTCTCCTCCTCCTCTCTTACCTCCTCTTTCTTCATTTGCTGGATATACCTCAGTCCTGTAATTTATCCATGAAGATTCACTTCACTCTCCATGAGCAGGCAGATTATGGGTCAATGGCATGCCACCACCACCATCTACTTGCCCACAAGCCCCAGCACCTCAAGGTACAAATGTGACTTTTGGGGTGATAAAAAATCAAGAGGGTGATGCCACACATGGGTGATATATTGCTTGGATTAGGATTTTGGGTGAAAGTTTAAGGATGTTTGTTGAAGTGTGGAAGTCAAGTTCATACCATATGCACTCCTAATGGTAATGGTGTGCATAAATTTGCCTAAATGCATATTCACTTAGCTCAAGAAGTAATTTGCCAAAGTATCATTGTAAAAATTGTATGGCCTATGGTATGGACCCCAAATGATGACTAAACAAGGAATGTTGGTGATACCTCATCACCAGCAAGGGTACATTTGTTATTTTCACAAATATGAGGGGCATATTTGCTATTATCAATAATATAGGAGTATTCTTCATATTTCAACATGTTTTAGGGATACATATGATATTTTTTTCTTGATTCATTTCATCTCATTATCAAACATGCATATTTTTGAAATATAACCTTAGTAATCTTGTGAGTAATATTTCAAATAAATAGAAACAAAAATACAGGTATTTTCTGAGTTTTGAATTCAGATTTACAATTTATTATCTTTAAGTGGTAATAATTACTCTCAGGAACAACTGAACTTTGTGAAGTTTTAAATTTCTTGCATACATGAGATAGGGAAGGGTTGTATTTATTAGTATTTGATGGGATAAGAAGATGATTAGTCCTATTTGTTTTTCAAACAAAGTTATTTTTGGAATCAAGTTATTAAATGACCAAATCAAATTGCATCAAAAAAAATTCTGCTATGGTTGGCAGTTTAAATCCCATTACAAACTCCCATATTTGAATAGTTAATTCTAACACTTGCATGGGACATTATGTTATGTTAAGAAAACAACAAAAATAAGGCAGGACCATTTCACACAGAATGTTGCCAAGTGAACAAACTACATCAAACTAAATGATAAAATGAACCCAAATTTGAAAAGCAATGCATGCAATGTTGGATATAGAATCAAAATGGACCAACATCATTAATTAGTCTTGGTTTGCTATCCCAAAATTAAACTTTAGAAAGTTGAACATCACACCATCTCAATTGTGGTAGGATCATGAGGATTGTGTTCCCTAAGTGCAGCTTCTAGTGAGTGGGAGCATTGTGAACACCCAACATGGAGTCTGAGATCCTGAAGGAGAGATATTTCAATGATGTAATGTACTGTATCTTTCCAGAAAGTATAAGCAGGGATTGATTGGTCAGAGGATGATCCATACTTGGTACACAGTATCAACTTCCTCCACTCTAAGGCTTTTCCTTATGAATTATTTGTGTGGTTCACATAAAATATTGTCATGCCCTTGCCTTCACATACCAAACTCATGGCAAGGACATCACCCACACATAGAAGAAGAGAAACTCAATAACTCCCAAGAAAAATACTTCTCAGTACCCTTTATTTGTTTCAGAGGCATGGGTCGATCACTAAAGACATGCTCAAGATTAAACAAATTGAAAAAAAATCATATTTGAACTATATCGATAAACCATACCTTCAGCATACACGTGGACAATACGCGTCTATTAAAATCGATACTACACCAATTACTTACCTTACTAGCAATCAACTGTACAGCAACACTGCGGCACGTCGTAGTGAATAATGAAAATGCATATTCATGAATTTACTTCGATCCTGAGAGCCTGTCGTTTATACTTCCTAACATTTTTACTTGTATTATTCGTAATGAATTCACTGTCAAGTGTAAGCCCATATCGTAAAAAACCTACGTACGTGCTTGACAAGACATGCTCTTGATTGTCACATCCATGCAGAATTACCATCACGCATGCTTATTGGTCTCGACGATGTAATATCGACGATGTAGAAGGACTGATCATTCACCAAGATTATAAGGACATCAATACATGCGGTAGGAACTATTTTCTTACCAACGGTTTAGGATTTAACAGTAGAGTACGCCCTGTTACATTCTTTGAAGGTAGACAGTGTTCCTCAAATATCCCAAATTTTCTCAACAGTTGTACAAAGAGAACTTCCAGCGAACCCAATCCTCAGCTTACCAATCAGCTCAAAGTTTCAAACACAGAGATCTAAGACAAGGTGAAAGAACGTAGTCCTAAACAAAAATTAAAATCGTGAAGGGGAAGTGCTTAGAAGAAGTGAATTAGGCCAGCCGTGGTGTTTCAACAGAATACAAAACAGAGAGCGTTGAAATAAAATTAATGAGTCACAGAAAAAAACACCAGGGGCACTCACCAACTTATAAAATTCAGCAGCTACCATACCTCAATGATGATAGGACACAAAATCGACAGAAAATTCAGACTAAACTCAGACTGCATATGACTTCAATAAATGTGAACAATTTGTATACAATAGTACCGCTGAGCAATAAGAGAACTTGCCAGAGTTACAACGCTACATATTTTCCCATCTAGTACCTCAGTCTTCCTCCTCGGCATCTTGATCCGCGATGTTGAAGTATCTCAACTCATACACATTCCTGTCCTTGTTCGACGCGATCACTCGGAGCCAATCCCTCACGTTGTGCTTCTTTAAGTACTTCTTCGTTAAGTACTTCAGGTACCTGCAATGGTTCATTAACACAAGAATGGATCATCAGATGATGAAACACCGTAGCACAAATACTACTATACCTCATGGAAACTAGAAAGTCAATTACATTTGGAGTTTGTTATACAGCAGCAAGGTATTCACCAACTCCTAATCTTGTGTAAGATATGACAACCTGGACCATATTTGAGGTCGGGTTAAAGGTCAAAAAAATGAAACACAACCATTCGATGGGGCTGCTGGTGGTCTACGCCGCTTTTATACTGACCCTACCATTCAGAAGCCAATCATATAATATATACAGTATTCCCGGTATAGTCATAAAACCCTAATTCCCTGAACGAAATTGCTACCTGAGCATGGTTTCCAGGATGGCTAACTACGTCATGGTTGGACAGTCCAATGACCCTGAGGAGAAAATCCAGTCTTCCCTGGAAAAAGGGCAGAGGAAGGTGGTCAAGACGGAAGCGGTATCGTACCTCTTGGAGAAAGAGCTCTCGGAAGTGACGCTAATCTTATTCTTCTCGCGAGAGATGGAGATGGCGTTGCCGAGCACTCCGGCCTTACCGTCCACCTTGATGCGGTCGTTGAGAAACTTCTCGAAGGAGGCAATATCCATGATCTTGTCCTCGACGGGCTTGCCGCAGTCGATGGTGAAGGTCTGAACCTTCTTCTTGCCCTTGGCGGCGACGCCGGGCGACTTCTTGGCCATCGGGGTAGGCATGGCGCAAAGTAGGAGAGAGAGAGAGTGTGTGTCGGTGGCGAAGCAGATGCAGCTCCAGTCGCCGCAGGATAGGGGGAACAAAAGAAAAGACCCCGCAATTTGACCTCGCTCGGCTTGTAACCCTAATCCTGCTCCCTCCCTCCCTCGTCACTACGTCTCGCAGAAACCTCTCTGTTCAATCGACTGGATCCGCCATTTTGGCCCGTTGGATCGCAGCTGCCGCTAAGGTGAAATCTCAACCGCTGATCATATCCCTGGGAACGGAAGGAGGGGCCGTTAGGGAACCAGCGGGCGGGCAGACAGGTTGGAGCCCGGGCAGGTTGGGAACTCAGAACCCATTCCTCATTGGGGTGCTGAATTTTGATCAGGGGCTGTCTCTCAATCCCAATTTTCAACCATTTCTCTTGCTTCAAACAATTCTTTTTAAATGAAATAATTATACTTAATTAGTTTAATTACTGATTTATCTAAATTCAAATTTACTTTAATAATATTAATGTAAGCAACATGTATCACTAAACTAAGTATGTTTTAGTATGTTTTTTGTATTATTCTTCTTATCTATTTTATTATTATAAATATAATTTTATTATTATTATATAAATATAATATTTTTATAAAATAAAATATTTAACCTAATTATTTTATTTTTATGTATAAATATAAATATATACATGCATATATATAGTTTTTCAATTAAAATTTTAAAAAATAAGAATACATGAAAAAGGCTAATGTTATTAAAAAATTATATCTTTTCATCTTATATATGTTACTTGAAAAAAATTCCATTAAATGAAACTTAGAATTTTTTTGATTTATATTGTATGTATATGCAAACATAAAATTTTATTTTTTCTTCAAATATATTATTTTATTTATTTCTTTAGAGGTTATATATATATATATATATATATCAATATTTTATTTTATTATCTTAAATATTTTACAAATATCTTATAATATAACAAAATAAGTATGTAATATAGATCTTTTTTCAATTTCTAATGTTTAATATAAATCTTATATTATATTTTTTTAATAATACTTCTAATATAACTATATGTTATGTTATTTTAATCAAAGCTAATATTTAGAAAAAAAATTCAAATATAATCATAATAAGATCAAATAAAAATTTATAAGATTAAATAATTAATAAATTGGTTAATTATCTAACATGTGAAAATGACAAGAATTCAAAAATGATAAGTAAATAAGTGAGAAATGAACCAAAGAGAGATGAAAAACTAAAAATAAGAAAATAAATATATTCAATAAAAAATTTGAATAACTATTGCCAAAGGCTAAAAAATTAGAGATTCTTGAAACTAGACTAGAAGCAAGAATTGAGCTAATAAGAGTGAAGAAGGCTTCATTCTTGCTTCTATATAAACAATCTACATAAAAGCTACATGATAACATCCTATAGGACCTCGAATATGTGTCTAATTTGCAAGACACATATTTTAAATTACAACACAAGTTGCTTATATATGCACCACATTGTTAGCTTATACCACAAGCTATCTACACTTATAACACATGACTAATTTCTTGGCTAAGTTTCTAACCTATAAATCAACTATAAACATGTGTAAAGTCAAATACATATCTATCAAGCTTCTAAAAAGTTTTGCCATAAGATAATATCAAATCTACATAATTTTATATATTTTTATCTATTCATATTATCCATAAATATATCCATGATATTATTTCCTTTTCTAGGGACAAGTTCTATAAAGAGCAATGATTACATGTTGAAAAAATGTAAGATGGAGCATATTGTATTTGCTTTACTTTGATTGTTGTTTCTTTCAAAGATAGTTGATAGGTCCTCTCAACCACTAATAATGTCCTATTCTAGGACAAGAAGACCACCTTATTATATAATCATTATTGAAGCCTTCATAATTTCTTCAAAATAAAATATTTGTAATACCATCAAGAGTCGTTCGTACTTCTAATAAAATCACCAAACATTGCGAGTCTCTTCTAAGGTTGTGATATCAAATATATTATATCTTGTCATTTATTCAAGAAATAATATGTCATTCTTGAAGGTCTTTATCTCAATTACATTATCTTGAAGGTCTTTATCTCAATTACATTATCTTGAAGGCTATGATAATTACAATATCTTATTTAGTAAGTTAGCAAATGATGGCTCCTAAATTGGACCTACTAGCTATTGATTCTTCATCTCTTTAGCACCACAAATACACAAAAACTACAAACAAAGATAGAAGGTTGAATACAATCTTTCTTGATTTATAATTCTTTTATTACAAAGATTTTTTTATCTTTTATGTTAATTTTGATAGATTTTGTAACTAAAAAGTGTCAACCTTCTTTGCTATATTTATAAGATTCTTAACTAAATTCTATGTAAGTTCATTAATATCATATCTGCATCAATGAATAAGATATTTTAACCTATTTTGGTGTTGACTTTAGTCTAAGACTTCTTCAACCGTTGTCGTGTTGTAACACGACTATATGGTAAAAATACAAAGAAAGAAGATTTTTATTAATATTTAATCATCTTGAATGTTAATAGTAGCTGCCAATTCCAGTGCCAATATTCAGTGGCCAGTTACTGTCACCCCGTCGTAGTTAGTTGGGGCATACTTACCAGTAATGAAATGCTTCATTTAATTCCAATAATAGGAGTCAGCAGAAGGAGAAAGGACTAATTTAATGTTGAATGAACTTCATGTGAAGGGCTAATCTAATCCAATTATGGAGACGTCCAACTCAGGTCCTGTTACGGCCTCTTATCTAGTATGAGACCTGATTCGATTGGAAATCCAATGAGGTTCCAATACAGAGACTTTGGCTTTGTTGTAAGTTGTTCCGTCAGTTGGATTAATTCAGGAAGTCTGAGGTGGGAGGATATTGGACCGCATGGGGAGGTAAGCTGTTCCGTTGGCTGGACCAATTTGGGAGGTCCAAGGCGGGAGGATTGGACCGCATGGGGAGAAAAGCTCTGTCGACTGGATCAATTCAAAGAGACCGAGGCGGAAGAATAAGGGGCAAACGGGTGGAGGGATTTTGGGGGGAGGGAGATTAGAGAGCAAATTAGGGACAAACTTGTGGAGGGATTTTGGAGAGGTGATTTCATGTCGTTTGGATCAATATTGGATTTTGAAGGATTTTCTAAGTGAGTGATGTTCTTTGTGATTTTAGATCTTTGAGAAATAAGATCGATTTACAAATTTTTAGATTTCATAATTTTTGTAGCATTTTTATGGATAAAAATTTAGAGACTTATTGATATGTTGTCACGGACACAAAATACAGACTTGAAATCTAACAAGAAGTTCAAGAAGAAGTGGCAGAACTAGATTAAACAGATGAGTACAAGAACAACACCAGAAAGGTGAGCTAGAACTCCAAGAGATGTGTTGTCGAGACTGAAGAACCCTTCAGCCTCGACTCCTATATATATTACTGAATAGGAAGCTTCTCGAGCTACTTCCGCTAACTAGGACGCTTCTCCAACAACTTCTACTAATTAGGAAACTTCTCGAGCAACTTCCTAGAATCTATCAAAATATTCTAGAACCTTCTAAGAATATTTTAGAACCTTCTAAAAGAATCTTTAGGGAATATTCTAAGAATCTTCTAGAATCTTCTAAAGGAATCTTTAGAGAATATTCTAGAAGAATATTCGAAGAATCTTCCAATGTATGTCCATGACATCACCTCCTCTTCTAACTTCGAGGTCTCCGAGAAGCAATGTTGTTATCAGTCAATACCAACGCAAGAAAATGAAAATCTGTCGCATCACATCCGCTATGAATTCCAATTGTTGTTCGCGAGGCAAATGATTCATCGGCCCTTGGAGCCAACGGTAGTGACTAACACCTTCAACCTCTGACCAAGCGTGGACTTCTGTGTCTTCATTGTGAAACTGTCCTCCAAACACACCTTCTGGCTGACCGTCGTAGGCAGGCTCGACCTCAAATACAATTACTAGCGATCTGTTGCTCGGTATCCTCCGACGTCGTCGTGGTGCAGGCGGTTCTTCATCTCGCGGTCGTCTTCGTGAGCTAGTCACTTGAGATGACATAACAAGTGTAGTATCTTGACTATCCATGTCCAAAGGGTAAAATGATGAGAGCAAACTATAGTTGCTAACAAAGTTCTACACTATCGAACTATGGGTTTTGGAGGTGCCCTCCCCCCTTTTTATGCTACTTGATGAACAAGCTTCAGCAAGAAGCTATCGTTGAATCGGCTTAGGTTTATGAGGATATCGTTGATGAAATTCTTGTACCTTTTTTGGTGCATTAGCAAGATTTTCGGCACGCTCCCACGTTCGTTCATTGATGTCGTATCCACTCCCATGCACTAAATACTCCAATTTTTTCCTATTACGCCGTGAATCTAGTACCTTTTCCACCTCGTATTCCTCATGGTTTTCAATTTCGATACTTGGTGGCGGACTTTGTACTCTTTGGGGAAAAGCTGACTCTTGATAAGGTTCCAACAAAGACACGTGAAAGACTGGATGTACCTTCATAGTAGCTGGTAACTCCAGACGATATGCCACCGGATTGATCTGCTTCTCGATAAGAAATGGCCCTAATTTCCGATAGTCCAATTTGTCACATGGCCGCTTGGTCTTGATATTCCGTCGAAGAAGCCATACTTTACTTCCAACTTTAAAAGTAGGCGCCTCATTTCGATATTTATCTGCAGATGCCTTGTAACTCTCTTGGGCAGATTGCAATTGAAGCTTCAACGTCGCTTGAAGCTCCGATAGTTGCTTCACAAATCCTTCAACTGCTGGGTTGTTATTTGCTGAAGAACTCAATAAATCGAGCTTGGGGTGGTATCCGTAGTTGGAGAAGAATGGTGTTTGTTGAGTTGACGCATGAAGAGTGTTGTTGTATGCGAACTCAGCAAGCGGTAGATATGCAGTCCAATCATCTTGTTGATAGTTGATGCTGCATCGTAAATATTGCTCCAAAACTTGATTCACCCGCTCCGTTTGACCGTCAGTTTGAGGATGAAAAGCCGAAGAGAGCTTAATATCCACCTTCAATATCTCAAAGAGGGACCTCCAAAACTTGGATACAAACTGAGTACCTCGATCCGACA